TAGTGTCCTCACGAATCTTAAAATTGACAAAATAATTCAAAGGGATTTCTACTTAGCTTATTCACATGCTGAAAATTTAATTTTGAAATTAAATATGAATAGATGGAAAGATGCCAACAGAGAAGAATGAATGATAATTGTTACAGTATGTATGACGCACATTTCATTTCACTGAGTTTCCATGAAGAAATATCTTAATTCAATTTAAGCTTTTCTTCTGTTTAAAAGCATTACTTAAGCTCGTCACTTGTGTGAAAGTGATGATAAGTTTCTTGCGGGAACATCATATTTTGGAATTATGAACAAATGTGAAGTTAATGAGATCTGCTTGAAGCTTGTGGATGTAGTTGAAGAGATATGAATTTTAAATTTTTTGTTGAAATTTCATGATTTATTCAGGAGTCAATTAAATGTTTGAATTAGTGTTCTTTTTAAGGAATTGTCATGAGTGAGAATTTATATTTCATCATTGATGTTGGATTTTGTGTCATTTTTTGTCGGACCTTCCACATAAGATTTTTAACTATTTATATCGTGGTATTGAAGCTTTATTAAGATGAATTGTTTTCATATTTGTGTAAGTCAGCTCGGAGCAAGCAAGCTTTAATATCCAAAACATTCCAAAACTCACGATTGCCACCAAAAAATTTCAATAAACCCCCAAAGGACACAATTCTAATTAAAACTTGCCAGCAAATTCCACTCAAGTTTGAATTTATTTCCTTATCTTAATGTTCATTCATTAAGCCATCGCATATCTTCATCCTGTAGAGTGAGAAAGAACAAAGTAAGCAGACGTCTGTTAAAAAATTAAATAAAATAACAAACAACAGCAACAACATAAAAACTCATGATGTATATCACATCGAAAACATTACAACAAAAAGAAAAACCTCGTAGATTGAATTATTTCATTTTATGCTCATAAAATAGATCATTTTTCTTCTTTTTTTTTTTGTTCAACCATTCATTTGCTACCATTGCCATTGCTTGTTATCATCCACTTTCTCTTTTTACTTACTTCCATTTCAATAAAATTCAATGTACCAAAGCTATGAAAAAGCGTCATAAAAATATGAAAAACCACTCTAATTAATTTCATTATGGTTGATATACTATAGCCTGCGTTACATTGAATTCGTAATGGGGCATTGAATCTATAAGAATGTGAGAAATAAAAGGAGATGAAATGGCAATTTGAGGGTGAAAAAAAAAGAAAGAAAGACTAAACAAGGTCTTTATATTCAACTGAATGCGATATTTAAGCTCATTCAAAGATCTCAAGTGTTGATTACTAGACTGATATTGATCCACGTATGCAATTTGCCATACCTTCTAGTTTTTCAGATGAGCACAATAGTAAGGGAGTGGGAAGAAGGATGATTTTGCTAAATCAATAGCGCCATTGCTGCGCTTTCATTTTCACAATAAAATTCACATCATTCTCTTTTTAAAGCAACGACTGACAAGCTTGGGATATTTTTTAGATTTTGTCATTTTGGTTGGCTAGCTTTTTATAGGATAAATACAGCAGGATATAATTTAGAAAAGGCAAATACATCCATATAATAAAACTTCATACTACGTTTTGAATGAAGACTCCATTTATTTAAGACAATTTAAACCTGATTATTCACTATGTTCTCAATAAATCTTTCAAAAATGCGCTATTTTACCTCCTCAACATAAATGCTCTCCCAAACATAATTTCCTCTGTACTATAGAATCATAGTCATAGAACATCGTACACGTAACAATCATTTTGGTGATTTGGCTGCATTTCACGTATTTCAATTGATTTTCAATAAGGGTACTACCAGAGCGATGTGCGATGTGCTTAGACAGTGAATGTGTGATAAGAAGTGTGGGAAATCGAGAGGAGAAGAGCTGGAAAAAAATGAATGAAAGATGCAATTTTCAATTATATGATTTTCCATCCATTTATTTCTTCGTGATGTGACAAAAAAAATATTCCATTTGTATTGCATTCGAGTTTCTGCTTTTCTTAGATATGTAGAATCATCATCAAGCTACAAGTTGAGTGGTATGAGCAATGCAGAATTCTACCCTCCTTAAAAAAAAGGGAAAAGAAAAGCAGAAATTTGAGAGCAAACACAAATTGAATGAAAATCTACCCTACCCAAGATACTGTATGAGTGTATGTATATATTTATCAAACATTCAAACGGCACTGCCTTTTAGCGTACACTTTTTGATACATAAATAGCTGTGCTCTATTATGTTTGTATTTTACTAGAGTTTTACGACTGCATGTCACTCTTTTTGAGAGATTTTTATGCTGCTTTAGTGCAGATTTTTAGGATCTTGAGCTATTTATCAGCCAATTTATGCTGTGATGTGATTGTTTGTAGCTTTTTTTGATATTTTGGTATTTACTGACTTTTGTCATTTAGGAATTCGATCCAAATGCTGAATACTCTGAAAACAAACCTTTTTGCATCATTTGAAGCAAAATATTCACTGAGAAAAATTGAAGCGAAACCATTTAAATTTGTAAATTCCGTTAAAAGTTCAAATTTTGACGAATCTCTTAAATTTATTTTAATTAGTCAAATGCGATTCGACCCCTTAATACACTTCTATACACAGTTATCAAAATATTCTCAATATGTTAAAGCATATTAGAGCAAATGTTACCCTATTCCCCCACTTTGATTACCAAAATCTCCCTTAATGATGATTGATTATTGGACGATGACAATTCTGGTTTATGTTAAACCCCAAAAATATTCAATTTTGTATCAAGTGGCATAAAAACAATGGTTTTACATAATAATGAAGCTTTAAAAATCCTCAAAAATGATGAGCACTTCTGACGAATGTAGAGATTAATAACCATGACGTTTGTTTGATATCACCAAGATCATTATTTTGTACTTAATTGAAACATTGCTGCCTTCTTTGAAATTTATTTCATGCATGAGATTAAAAATTTCGCTTATTTTGCTGTTTTCATGCTGATCACTTTACTTTTAAAGTATGTTTTAATTTAATTTAATTTAATGAGGAATTTCAAGTACAAATTTAATTAAAAGGAAATGAAATTTTGGGTGGAGAATAGAAATTATGGCTGTGAAAAGGGAAAAAACTCGCGTTTTGTAATGTGTAAAGATTATAATTTTAAGATATGGAAGCGAGTGAATTTAAATTAAATGTTAAATGTTATTAAGACTAGGTTAGAGGGGGTTTAGGATTTTTTTCAATATATAAATCGAAGACTAAGCTGAATATGTGATCCAAGCTCTCAATTCTTAATGAAAATCAGGAACCATACAGTTGTAAATTGCACAAAATGCGCCTTTCAAGCATCATGAACAAAAAAGTAAATCCTGCTTATTTATTTCATAATTTTTTTTTGTCCCGCTAACTTAAAATAAGTAAATGGCAAGGAAGAAAAATATAATGGAAGAATTTATGATTCGTTTTTTCTTCCCTTGTTTCCATTTTCTCCTTTTCTTTTCCACATTGTATCCTGTATATTGTTTATATGTCATTTTCTTTCTCATAGAATCATCATCGTAGGTGTTCCTACCCATCCCACTCACCGACTTCTTATGTTTCCATTCATTCTTCATCATCCCCATGAGAATACATAAATTACGTATTTAGCAGTTATAGAAGATGTTATTTGCTGTGGAAAAAATAATTTTGATACAAAAAAAAATTATAGAGGAAGATGAAGGAAAGCAATAAAGAAGAAAATAATCTAAAAAATCAGGAATATAAGAAGCGGAGAAAATGAATCATATTGACAGGAATGGATGGAGGTGGTACCTTTATATTTTTTGTTTAAATTAGAGTCTAAGTTAGCAATTGGTGTCTTTCAGGACCGAAGCTAGAAAATTCTCGATGAAGGGTTTAGTTACTAAGTTCTTCAGTCACACCTGAGCTCATTCTTCAACTGAAATTAAGCTTAAATATAAATCAATATAGCCAGTAAGGGCTTAACGCCTGTTGCTTCTATTTTTCTAATTTTCAAAACGGTTCGAAGCCGTGTTACAATCCGGATATGCCCTTAAAACCAAATTTAGTACTCCAAATCTCGAAAATCTGTACGGGGGTCCTCGATTTGAACAAAACATTTAATCAAGAGAACCCACTAGTTTAATTTTTACAATTTTAAAAAAGTGCTATGGCAAGTTTTTCTAGCTTCATAGTTATAGGAGTCGTTCACTTATGACGTCCGAAATTAACAGTCATTTTTCAAAAAGATTCAAATTTCCATTGTTCTTTTCTTAGGAACCCCCCCCCCGGACGTCATAAGTGAACGGCTTAAGCTAAGTTGTATAAATCTGATTCATCATCCATTTCCCAAAAAAACATCTTTAATCACATAAATAAAGAGAACGGCAGAAAAATAAATTAATGACTTCCTCATGCTTAATATCAGATGAAATTTATTTCAGATTTGAACAATAATCCTAGGCTGTTGCCTAAACAACAAACCCAAAATCACCTGCAAAGCATTGAAATGTGATATTTGCCAGTTCTCATGAAATATTGTTCTGTTTTTTTAATTTTAGATGTCGTAAATCCTTAAATTTCATTTTATGAATGACAATTTTTCAGCAGTTGTTTTTCCACCTCAAATTTATGTCCCATGAATGACATTTATATTCAATAGAAAGTCTTGCGACCTCGTTACATTATTTTTATCTCACTGAAATTTGATAAATTACAGAATTCCATCCTCATTTAGAAAAATGTTCATTAAAAATTGTTCAAGTTCCGAAATTCGAGTTGTTTTGCCCATTTAAGCACATCTCCATTGATTTTTACGATTCCAACAGCTGTTGTTTCCATAATATTATATTTCTATTGCAACAGCATTTGTATGGATTCTCCATTTGTGCCATTAAAACTGAATGTGATGTAATGAAATTGATAACAGCCGTATTGTGTTGTGCAATAATAATGATCTTTAATTACTGAGCAAAACGTATCGAATTGTTTATTGAATTTTAGTTGATTGTTGCTTTCTATGTGATAGTTGGAAGGGCCTGTGAATATGGGAAAGATGAAATTAATGATATTGATCATTTTAGACTGGATCATTCGTTTTTAATCCTTAAAAAGCTTGAGTTATTTTATGTAATAATTGCAAAATCAGTCTTGAATGTGATTTGAATCTACCCGAATGGCACAAGTCGGATAATCGATCAGAAATCCGGCACCAATCAGGTGTGACTCTGGGATGGTGCTGGATTTAAATCAAAGCCAGCATCATGTCAAAGTCATCCCAGTTTGGTGCCAGATATCTATTCGATTAACCGACTTGTGCTATTCTAGCTAGCATCCAAGCTTGAAGAAAAGTTCCCCAAAAAATCAATTCTAAATCTCCAAAATCTAAAGATAAACTGTACCAAGCTTTTCAACAAAAGACTATCGTCATCCTAGAGAACCAATAAGATAAGTCAAAGACAAATGCCATTCGAGTCATAAAGTGACTATTGAAGCATGCCATAATTTTATTAATCTAACGAGATCTGACACAGAAAAAGGAGGAAAGCGAGAACGAATTTTTTGAGCAGCTCAGCAAAAATTAATGTTTTATAAATAAAACGGATGATATCAACATCTTCTGTGGCTATTCATAGCATTTTTTTTTTTTTGATAAAAATATATTCCATCCGTATCTATAGAAATAATCACATTTTATTTGAAGCCATTAGGATTACTGTCGCCGTCAACTGAGAAGCAATAAATTTTATCGTAGCGTAAACATTCTGTCCCCAAAAATTGATTCCGAACGTCTCTTTCCTTTCAGGAAGGCTATACACCCAATTCAACAATATATGAATTAGTAGAAATAATAACAATAACGTTAATGCTGCTTCAAAAATCATCGTCACTGCCATCAGACGTAACGATAATAGTTGTGCCTTGTCGCCATTAACATACTCGACGTGTACTGCATAAATTGCTCCATAATTAAATAAAACTTTCATAAATTTTTTGGCTATTGTGGATGGAATGGTAAGAAACGAGTAAGTAGCGACTGGATATTATATAAAATGAAATGAAACAAAAAGTTTGAGCAGCACAATATTAAATTTCCATTTTTACGTACATTCACTTGGTCAGTTGGATAAATATAATGTAAAATAATAAAGTGGGAGTTCGGTGAGAGGTCAGGACATGTTAAGACTGAATAAATTTCCTCTCATTCCTTCACGGTCGTGCAATTTTTATTGCAACTTTTTGTGCGAGAAATGGGTGAAGTTTAGGAGTCAGTTTTGGACTGTTTTTGGATGTTGAACATTTTGTAAGAACATTTCTTGTTGGATGTCTTGCTAAATGATAACAACACAGTGAAAAAGAATTATATTTATGACTCAGACGTCTTGTACTGTTAAACCACACCTGAACACTAGGAAAAACAGCCAGAATAAGAACACATCAGAGTTCCAAGTCAACATAGAAACTTCATGGCACTTAATCAACTCGACCCAACCTTTCGCATACAACACAACCATTAAAAAGTTATTTTATATGCCCGAATAGCTCAAACCGGATAATCGAATAGAAATCTAGAGCTAAGCTTGCATGACTCTTGCATGGTGCTGGCCTCGATTTCAAACCAGCACTATCCCAGAGTCACACCGGCATGGACCTGGATTTCTAAATGATTAATTGACTTGTGCCATTCAGGATTGATTAAATCTTGCCATAAGCTTTCTCAAACTAGCTACTCTATTTTCTGGTTCCTATGATTTGCATATAAGCTCCGAGTTGACGTTAAGCTCTGAAATCCACGCCAAAAAATCATTATCTCCCAAAAGTCAAGACATCTAATGATTCAAGCTTTTAATCCCTTGAGTCAACAAAAAGGAAACTCGATACCAAAAGTAATCAATCACAAATTGACATGATACAACTTTAAAGACATTAAAAAACCAGCAACCAAACAAAGGTCAACATTACTAGCAACAAATGCACTTTAGTAATTCACCCATAGTAAATTTTCAAACTAGTTCATTTTATTTCCTTTATTCTGATGTGCTTTCTGCTGGAAAACAAAAAAAGGAGGATGTAGAAATAAAGCTTACTGTAGTTGTTATCCCGCAAAAATACATAACACAACCAACCCCAATGCCAAAAAGTGGCACATAAAGCTAGGAAAATTTCATTTATGTCCATAAAAATATGTTCATTCTCATTCCCCATTTATTCGGAGCTGTATGAAAAGTTTCAAATATATGCACAGAATATAAAAGCTAGAGTCGAGCGACATTGCACAACATTTATTAGTTAATTTCAGAAATATAATCGTTAAGCAGTATAATTTAGAGAGTCGCCAAATGCTTTCGACATTTCGACTCTACTCCAACCCCAAAAGTGCACTACAAAAAAAAAATTAAAACAATAAAAACTAAAAGTGAAGCCAGCTGCATTTAAAAATATGAATTGCCTTAGTTCGTCGGAATGAATGAAAATAGTGGCGCAATGTTCATGTTTCAGGAAATGCCGTGTTTAAATATTTGCTATGTTCTGAGAAAGCTATAGAGTCATAAAGTATAATACTCAAGCAAAAACATCATATAACCGAAAAAGTGCTTTGCCTGCTTTTTTCCATTCCTTTTTCGCCTCTCGTTCCTCCTTAAGCTTTTGTTTACTTGCCTTGCGATGAGCGGAAAAATTATCTCTTCAACTTTTTTTTTCCTCTTCATTTCCATTGTTGAAACGTGATTTTTGGTGTGAATTGTTGCTTAGTTTAATTAGGACTGACTGAGCTGCTTTTCTTCTTTTTTTTTTTTGAGGATTAAACATAGTTCTAGGGAATTTTTGGATTGAAGCTCTAGAGTTTATGACTTGGTTTACATTTAGATCATCATGATCGGATCTTTAGTGGTTTAGTCAGAGCTTGAAGTCTATAGGGTTCGAGTCTACTTAAGTTGATTCAAGTTGACTCAAAACCGAGTAAGCTCAACTTTTCTCTAGTCGACTTCATTGACTCGAAAAAAAATGACTCAAGGCGAGTCAACTCGGGTTCTTAGAGCTCTGAGTTTAGCTGTGGTTTTTGGTCTATTTATGGAGCTTATACCTCATCCAGCCTCAATGCCAACTTCCATTAGCCAAGAACCCATCAAGGCAGTAACCAGAATTTATTTAAGGGATGTTTTCGACCTACCAGTAGCTCTCTTAGGCTATTAATCTCAATTTTAGACTCGAATCGTAATTTTCTCTCTGAATTCAGGTTTGAATCCTAATAAAATCATCTTTATTTCCTCCAATATCCAAACATACAGTCTGGTCTGTAAAAAATTAATGAGACACTTGATAAAAATGAATTCAAATCCAAAGCTACTTAACCACTTAATATAATCCACTCAAAAGGATGCAAAACAATAAGAAAACCTTCACAGATCTCGACAAAGCTTCTTAATAGCTCCTCAATAATTTCTTTCCTGATCTTTCCAAAAATAAGAACTGCGTCTTACAAAGCCCTCATTATAGTCACAAGCCGAAGTAACTTCCTTCATTATTTCATTCTACTTTGCAAAGCAATTTCACCCTTATTGCTTATTCCTCGAAAAATGAAAGAGAGAGAAAGGCAAGGAAGAAGCTGCCACATGAAGAATTGTTGTTGGGAAATCACGCGGCACAAAAAAAGCAAAGAATAAAGTGAAAATAAATATAAGGCATAAGAAAGAAAGAATAACTCTGACGAGTACTGAGCGAGGGAGGCAAAGAAGAAAAGAGCTCGATAGGCAATAAATTTTCGTGCTCCTGCATGACTCTGGCCCCTCGTTAACTCTTTGCGCTAAATTTATTGATAGCTTTACGTTAGGGTTTTTCAAATAAAACGAGCGGAAGAAGAGCTAGTGGGGCAATAATGGTCATAAATAATCATTGTCGAAGGATTGAACGGAATGAAAGAAAGCTTGCGGGTGACTTCGATGTCGTGTTCACTTCCATCTCTCTCTGTATGTCGATTTCCTTTCCTTTTCCATCTCATGTGATATGATTTGCATGAATAAATTTGCTAATGGTTGATTGGAATCAATTTTCTACTTTTTAAGGCTTTACTTTTATCCTTCCTCATTCAATTCTCTCTGCTATGCCTGTCAAAATCCTAAAGAGATTCATTCAGGAAAGAACCTTTTGAAAACAATTAAAAAACTTTTTTTATGTGCTTGAAAAAAAAAATAAAAAGGAAGGCAAAAAAAGTTTCTTTTAAGTTTGAGGCAGAAGGGAATTTGTGTGAAAATCTATGTAACCATTTTTTTGTTGGGTATGGGATGCATTTTGGGATGAAGTCTAATTTAGAATTGCTTATTAAATAGCTTGTTTAATAACTCTACATGATTACATGATGCTTGGTATCAATGCGAATGCAAGTAACCACAATTTGAGTTATTAAAGTCCAAAGCTGGTTTTATGATTATATGAAGGCATTAGAATCCAACTAGACGTTCCCTGATTCACAATACTCGTTCAATGATTCACATTTATACTTTCTTTACTAGCCGTAAAGATCAATTTAATTCACGGTCTCCCTTAGATGGCAACTGAAGCTAACTCTATCGCTGGCTTTTGCTTACCAATTATCAACAGCAAGTTTATTAATATCTGTGTAAACAACTTCTTTGCCAAGAGTTCCTATAACGCCCACGGTTTCAAGAATCACCTCTCAGTTTACAAGATATGTTGGAATCAGCTAGCTACGCTATTTAAATGAAGTCATGATTCAAAATTGAGCAGTATAGAAAGCCATCTAGTCAGTTTATATAAGAAACCGTCTCCTGAGCCATAAACTTCCTGACAAAAACACAAAAAAACATTCAAGCTCTTCAATGACGTAATTTATTTTTTTTGGCAATAACAAAAGTTACATGACATAAATTTTAAATTACAGCAAGAAAGCCCCAAAATAATCTTCATTTATGTTAGCTATGACGCCAGAATCTGATATAAAATTCCAAGAATTTTCCTCACCAGACTCAATAATTATCAAAAAGTCCCAAACTACCAATTTATCTCATCTCTACAATAAAACGATTAAAGTATGCTGTCCAATGAGGCATAAAACATTAATTTTATTATCTCTTCCAAAAAGTAGTTCCAGATAGACTCAAAATGATGAAAATCACATTGCCCAAAAACAATTTCTACTACCAAAAAAAAGGGAAAACTAGAAGTTTAAATTCTCCATCCATACATGAGGTTATCGATTGCCCATTTTACAGACGGAGAAGAAGGAAATGGAAGCAGCAAAAAAAAAACTTTAATATTTTGTTCATGGAAGAAGAAATATAAAGAATAAACTATAACTTTTTTACCATAACCAGAATACAAATTAAGTTTCCCTATCCTTACTTCCTCCTACACTTTTGTTTTTTTCTTTCATCTTATTGCTATTTTTCTTCCTTGAAGTCTTGACTTTCTTGCTTCTGTCGTACAGATAAACAATTTTTCTTTCCCTTCTTTATTTTATTTTGTGCCTGCATCTCTCACATTGAACTTTTGTTTTCATACTGGAATGTGAATTCTGATTTAGTGGTATGAGGGATATCCGAGAGAGGACATTGGAATGAAGTGGGATGAGGGAAAATATCTCTCAGACTTCCAATTCTCTTTGAGTGATTCAATTCTCTTGATTTCAAATTAGTAAGCACTCTTCGTTCTCAACATGTGTTGCTTTATATACAAATTTAATTCTCAACATGCTCACCCTCTTTTTATGAATGAATTTCTCAAACATTGTTATGTATCATCATCATTCATCCCCTCCACTGAAATTTTTTGCTGGCTTAGAATGAGAGAGTCAATTTGAATGTGAGAACGGAAAGTGTTGTGGCTTGTAAATAATAACATCAGTGAGGACATCGAATGTAATGAGATTGAATTTTTGAAATCTTTATTAAGTTTCAACAAACAATGATTAAACAGAATTGGACATAAAAATTACGAGTTTAACTGTTTGTACTTAGGGGCCGTTCACTTATTACGTTCGCATTTTAGGGGGGAGGGGGGGTTTGAAAAATTGTAACAAAATGTAACATAGGGGGGGTGTCAAGAAGTATGTAACGTTCTAACTGTCGTCTGAGTTTTAAAAAAGTTCACAAAAAAAATTTGTTTACAAATTCACACCAAAAACATTTTTTTAAATTTTCCACGTTTTTAATGATTTATGAAAAATTATCAAAATAAAATAAATTATGAACGTTCAGGGGGGGGGGGGGTTGTGAGTTGTAACATATTGTAACAAGGGGGGGAGGGGGGTGAAAAAAGTCGTTTTTTGCAGTGAACGGCCCCTTAGAGGATCGAGATTCTATGTTTTATTTTGTTCCTTGAACCAACATTCCTTTAAGCTCTTGATCTAGTTTCTAGAATTTCTAGGACATCAAACAATTGAAGAACCGAAACTTTTGAAAAACACGAATTTAAGAATGACTTAATTCGGATCTTCGATTTACTGGTCTAGCTTTAAGCCAGTGAACTCTTAAGATACAATATTGACATAAAATCGATAAATAATTACGAGTGTTTAACTACTTTTTCATCACTAATTATTTAAGCATGTTGAGAATATTTTAACGGTTATTTTTTATTCAAATTATGTATGCAGTATAGTTGTAAGCCCCTTTCATATCGTCGAACAATAAGCATCGTTATTCAATTATCAAACCAACAAAGCCTCTTTAAGTTTAATTCCCTTTATACGGATGAACTTGAATTTGTCGAACAACTCGTCTAAATCCATTTGATCTAAATTTGTTAATCACAAAGTATCCTCCTTTAACTGATTCTCTGCATTTTAATGTCTCGTAGTTTGAAGTCATAGAAACTTTCATATCAATACATTGTTTATCTAAATCTCCTTGTTTCAAAAGTTTGAGTTTCTTCTTGAGTATAAATTTCCTCTTCCATTTATTAAGATTGACTTTTCGGATGCTCAACTTGTTTATTCCATGTGCAACTTTATTACATTGTAAAATTTTAAATTTTTGACTGATAAATTCAGTAAGAAACACAATCAGTGATATTAAACATCCAGCAAGTAAGACTACCAATGGCAAACCCATATCCCCAAACTCAATCAGATCACGTCCACTATTTAAGCTATTTGAAGCTCTAAATCCTTGTTGATAGTATTCAACCATGTCTTTTTCCCATAATTTATAGATTCCTGATTCTTCAAAACGTTCAATCATGTCTCTAAGTTCTTTATTGTAGAAAAAGTCACTTCGGGTTGTGATCCTTTGATAAGTTTGAGTTAATGTGAACTTGTCGAAAAGCCTTCGATGACCTTGAAAGTTATTTAATGACTTTAGGAATGAGTCAGCATATTTACATGTTACTAAATAAACCAAATCTTTATCAAAATTCTTAGGAACTTCCAGCTGTAACATATTTCGAATATTTATATGATTTATGATCAGTTCATCTCGAATCATAGGCAAATATCCTAAAACTGAGGTATTTCTATCGTAAAAGGAATAGAACTTTGTGTTGCTTTTGTTTAATTCTTTCAAGCTTAATGCTGATCTCATTGTTGGATCAGTGAGCATGAATGAAAGAATTATAGTCTCATAAAATGAACTCAAGATGAAGGATCCAAATATAAAGCAATAGATCATGATATTTTCATGGCTGCTAAGTTCTTCAATTCCAGATGCACCAAGATTCAACACCAGCTCATAAACAGACAAAAGAATTGAGGAAATTGATCTTCGACTGCCTGTATAAATAGACATAAATCTCCAAGTAACAATCAGCAACACTATCGAGATGAATGCAAGAAACAGCGATACATAATCCAGTGGTAGAGTAAAGTTTTCATATGATGACACAGGAATGTTTCGTGGAACTAGCAGACATAGTCCATCCATTTGATACAGCCAAGCTCCATCAAGATTTCTAGTAAGCATGATAAAGTTTGTAAAAATGCAAATATCATTCGGATTTCTAAGCAGTGAATAGATTTTACCAGGAGACATTGCTGTGTCTGGATTGTTAATAACTCGAAACCTCACATTGAGTTTTGCAGTAAGTTCTCGAATAAGATTCCCTTCAGCACCGACAATTTGATCATTTTTCATGTAAGACATGGGATAGTTGTTATAAAATATAATGTTAAGTCTAAACTGGATCCGGTAATTAGATGGCAATCGATCCCTTAACAAAACAAACTTCCTGTCTTGGATCAATTCAGGGAAATATTCAGGACGTCTTTTAGCCACAGTTTGGTGATTTGTTCGATATAAACTGTAATTTCCAGAAGTGCTATGACTCATTAAGTAGACATTGTAGTAACCTGCTTTAATGAGTGCAGCAAACACATCATTTAAGTTTTTACCGCTTGCATAGTCACTCATTATTACAATTATCTTTAATGACGTGTCTTCATGCAATAAAAATATATTCTTAATGAAATTCGCGTAGTCTAAACTGCCTTCAGAAATGAGCAGTATTGCATAGTCTAAATCTACGGGACAAATCATGTAATTTACTATTTTCTTTGAAATTCTTTCATTTTCACATCTTGTAAGTTGAACATAAAATCCTTCGTATTTGTAGCTCATCGATTTCAACGTTAAGTCATAGATAACAACATCAACTCTGTATTTTTCAGCCACGTCTGTAGTGTCCAGCATTTGCATTAAATGATTGCACAATTTATCCCATTTTATGGAATTATCCTGAACTTCTAGGTTTCGTTTGGTCTTAAAAACTGGAAACCTAGTCAAATTTTGCTGGAAACTTGGAGATATCAGCAAGAGAAGTGTTAATAACTTAAATCTCATGTTCTGCTTACTGTCGCTTGATCAAAAGTTAAACTGCTACTAAATGTGTTTGTTTTGAATCTCAAATCCCCACAAAAAGCTTGAAATAATTAAGTGCTATCAACTAATTGTTAGGTATAGAATGTTAATACTAGGTTGAGCGCTTGAAATAATCTTTTGGTAAAATCGTGGATCTGTTGCATATTAAATTTCAATTTTTTAAAGATATCTAGTCTGCAAACTCCACAACTCAATTGTTGATCCGAAATAATTCGTTGATGCGATCGAATTTCCCATAAAATTTGTTTGTTGTTTGCCAATGTAGACGATTGCATGTATTGAAAGTACACAAACCGATTTTTCAAAAATATTTCCTCAACAATTTCCTAACTTGTATGATATCAAACCTTCATTTAATGCATATTTCAAGTAATCATAAATCCCCAAAATGTGTCTTTGCTAGAAAAAAAGGTAAAATATGTGCCAAAGCTAATCAAGACATTTATTCATGTGCTAAAGCTAATCCTTGCTTCAACATGCTTGACATTTTCATTTATTCATTGAATAATAATCACTTGACTCAATTCAAGCAAAGAACTTGATTAATATTTACTTTTCTCTACTTGACTTTTGAAAATGCAAAAAAGGATATTTTCAGTGAAGACACATGAATCAAGTAATGAGGATGTTATTTGAGACAATCTTACTTGATTATTATTTTTAAGACATTAAAAAGATATGTCAAGTTGTGAGATTTCAATGAAGATCAGTTAAAAGCTAAGTAAAGATAATGAACATAAGATCATGATATCCAGATGTTGTTGTAGAAATTAGGATGATCCAGAAACAAAAAATTGCAAGAAAATAAAAATCATAGTTTCCGAGAACAAGCATCACTCCTTAATATACTAATCTATGCCAACAATCAACTCAATTTATTGAGAGTCGGAAATGACAAGACACAAGAAAGATGCATAAGATGAGCAATTCTCAGCAATTAACAATTGTAATATCAATTTTTGAATTTATAAACGACATTTAGCCAAAAAAGCTTTAGACGTGAATACATTTTCATGTGCTGCTCGGAAAAGAAAAGTCTATAAATTAAAGATAAGCCTTATTCTAATAGCTGCTGCACATTTATCACACATCAACTAATCTTTTAAATAACAAACCGATAGAGATGCAAATACTTAGAGGAACTAGAATAGAAAGATGCATTTACAACAGTAACAGTCGTGGAAAAATTCAGAATAAATTTGTAAATTTCCTGATGAAGAGAGTCAAGCATGTGAAATCTAAGGACACTTCCTTACTACAACAGAAATGACTCGCCTGTACAACAACAAATTAAATAATATTTATTCATAATCAGGAATTAAAGTGAGGATAAATAGACATGCATTTATAAATATCCCACAAAATTCATATCAGCATCTCACTTTCATTCTGAATCTCGTTCCATCGAAATGTGCAAAAGTGTATCAATACAGTCGGTGACTTGTGCATCAGAAGTAGAAAAATCTGAAGAAAAAGTCAATTTTGATGAAGCAATTCGATTAACTGGATATGGAAAATTTAATTATTTTATTGTGATAATTAGTGGAGTTGTGTTGTCTGCTGTGCTGCTTGAAACCCTTAGCATCTCATTTGTGCTACCTGTTGCTGAAAATGATCTTGATTTGAGTACGGAAGATAAAGGAATTGTTAGTTCCGTTGCATATGCAGGAATCATTGCATCATCACATATAAGTGGATTCTTAGCAGACACGAAAGGCAGAAGACTAGTCATCATGTTATCGCTGTTGCTCTCTTTCGGATGTACACTCATATCCAGTTTTGTTAGTAATTTTTGGATATTCACTGCCATGAGATTTTTATGTGGATTTTTGTAAGATTTAAACTTAGTTTAATTATTGCAAAGCTAATCGGGTCTGTTTTTGTATATTTAGCATATCTGGAAGTAGCGCGACAATATACGCTTACTTAGCAGAATTTCATACGATTAAGATGCAATCCAAAGTTATTATGGGAGGTAAGTCACTCAATAAGATAAAGAGTTGTTCATAAATGCTGTGTTTTGAATATTTGGATGGCAACTCCTGCTCCGTCACTTAAAAGATTTCAAGCTTCAAAACTTTATCATTAAATTGAACAATCCCTCAAAACCACATAAGATTAAGTGCTAATAATCCCAACATTCACATTTTTACAGCTGCATTTGTTTTCGGTGTTAGCTCAATGTGTATGCCTCTCATTGCTATGCTCATCATTAATCAGGAATGGATGTTCGTAATTGACTTTTTAAATGTCGAATACAAGCCTTGGAGACTGTTTGTGCTTACTTGTGGATCAATGAGTTTAATAAGCGGCTTGTGCTTTGTCTTCCTTCCTGAATCACCAAAGTTTATGTTTACAAATGGCAAGAAGGAGGAAGCATTGGGTACTCTCAGAAAAATCTACAGACTCAATACTGGACGAGCAATTGAAGAATATAAAGTGAAGGAAATAATTGTTGATGAAAAAAATATCGAAACTAGTTGCCAACCAGACTCGAAGGATTTGTCTTTATGTAAACGCATGTGGAACCAAACAGCACCGTTGTTTCAGAAGATGCATCTAAAAAATACACTTATTTTGTGCTCAATTCAATTTTTGATATTCAACACGTCGTCAGGGTAAGTTGGTAGTTTTTTTGGAGTTTATGGAAGCACTTGATCAGTATAATCTTGTTATATACTTAGTTCCAATCATGTTGAGGATCTCAGCAAACTTGAGCTGATTGTATCGATCGAGCATAACCAGTGCTTAGCACCTAATTCTTCTATTGCTATTTCTCAATTTCCTTGTAGCTTCTACATGTTCTTCCCAGAAATTCTGAATCGAGCGATTGAATTCACGAAAGAAAACCCAAATACATCCTCAACAATTTGTCAAGCTTTCTATCAAAATAGAAACTCATCAATGACAGATGTCAATCCATCGAATATCATAAAGTTAGAATTCAAAACCTATGAATATTCCTTTATATTAGAAATAATATATGCACTAGGATTTGCTGTTATTGGGGTGCTCGTTAATCGTCTCGGAAAATTATTCATAGTTTTATTTGTTCTTCTTGGCTGTGGACTATGTGCATTTGCGATATCATTTGTGTCAATAGTCAACTTATCAATTTATCTCTACGTGATTCTACTGGCATGTGGACTCTCTGTCAATGTCATTACAGGAAGCACTCTTGAACTTTTTCCAACGAGCTTAAGGTAAGTCTTTGTTGACTAAGTGTGCGAAGGCTTAGTGATAGCTGTTTGTGTGGATATAAATAGACTTTAGACTTTGAGTTGAGATCTTTAAAGTCTTATAATGTCTAAGTGACTTGCATGGCTTAAAGAACCTTATTTAAATTGTTGCATAATCCTGTAAATTATCTCAAATCTGATGACAACATCCATGACCTTCTATACTACTGAATTAATACTGAAAACTAATCCACAAAATTCTCAATTTTAGAGCAATGGCTGTTTCTCTATCATTGATGTGCGGACGCTTGGGAAGTGTATTTGGATCAAATGTCGTTGGGTTGATGCTAGACAAGTATTGTGAATATGCTTTCTTGTACTCTGGAACGACATTAATTATCTGTTGCTGCCTTATTTTTTATATACCAAACATTTCTAAACGACGAGGTACTGAATCTAGTGATAATAAAGTGATATCGCCTAGTTAAATGGTGATTGACTTGTAAATATTTTATAGGAGTTGAGTTTGTTTTTATTCTGTTAATGGCATGTTAAAAGGCTTAATAAATAGGCATTAATTTTGAAGATTCATCACTTCATTAAGGTCTGAAAGCACATCTTGGTCATGTGCTACGTTGGATACTAGTGATACTCATTGTCTTTAAAGCTATCAATTTACAAACTAGGATGAGGACAAAAAATTTGAATTTAATATTCAATGTAGAATCTAGTTCAAGCACATAAATAAGTCTTGAGCCATGCATTTAGTGACACCACATGAAGTTCTCGGGTCTTTCAATAATTTCATAATAATGACGAAAATCAGAGATCAACAGAAATATTTCTCCGAAAAGTCTTCTCAATTCCGCATAATTAAAAAACAAAAATAAATTTAAAAGAGTTTATGTAACAAAGTCACAATAAGTTTGTTAATAATACCTAGATATGTTTTAAAATGCAATTTAAAGCATTTTTGATCATAGTAGGCTATTTTCAAAACAAAAATCGATTTTATATCTTTATTAGCATTCTTTATCATTTATAATGCCTAGATATGTTTTAAAATGCAATTTAAAGCATTTTTGGTTTTGATCATAGTAGGCTATTTTCAAAAAAATATCGATTTTAAATCTATATTAGCATTCTTTATCATTTATAATACCTAGATATGTTTTAAAATGAAATTTAAAGCATTTTTGGTTTTGATCATAGTAGGCTATTTTCAAAAAAATATCGATTTTTATCTATATTAGCATTCTTTATCATTTATAATACCAAGATATGGTTTAAAATGCAATTTAAAGCATTTTTGGTTTTGATCATAGTAGGCTATTTTCAAAAAAATATAGATTTTTATCTATATTAGCATTCTTTATCATTTATAATACCAAGATATGGTTTAAATGCAATTTAAAGCATTTTTGGTTTTGATCATAGTAGGCTATTTTCAAAAAATATCGATTTTATATCTATAGTAGCATTCTTAATCATTTATAATGCCAAGATATGGTTTAAAATGAAATTTAAAGCATTTTTGGTTTTGATCATAGTAGGCTATTTTCAAAAAAATATCGATTTTTATCTATATTAGCATTCTTTATCATTTATAATACCAAGATATGGTTTAAATGCAATTTAAAGCATTTTTGGTTTTGATCATAGTAGGCTATTTTCAAAAAAATATCGATTTTTATCTATATTAGCATTCTTTATCATTTATAATACCAAGATATGGTTTAAATGCAATTTAAAGCATTTTTGGTTTTGATCATAGTAGGCTATTTTCAAAAAATATCGATTTTATATCTATAGTAGCATTCTTAATCATTTATAATGCCAAGATATGGTTTAAAATGAAATTTAAAGCATTTTTGGTTTTGATCATAGTAGGCTATTTTCAAAAAAATATCGATTTTTATCTATATTAGCATTCTTTATCATTTATAATACCAAGATATGGTTTAAATGCAATTTAAAGCATTTTTGGTTTTGATCATAGTAGGCTATTTTCAAAAAATATCGATTTTATATCTATAGTAGCATTCTTTATCATTTATAATACCTAGATATGTTTTAAAATGAAATTTAAAGCATTTTTGGTTTTGATCATAGTAGGCTATTTTCAAAAAAATATCGATTTTTATCTATATTAGCATTCTTTATCATTTATAATACCAAGATATGGTTTAAAATGCAATTTAAAGCATTTTTGGTTTTGATCATAGTAGGCTATTTTCAAAAAAATATCGATTTTTATCTATATTAGCATTCTTTATCATTTATAATACCAAGATATGGTTTAAAATGCAATTTAAAGCATTTTTGGTTTTGATCATAGTAGGCTATTTTCAAAAAAATATCGATTTTTATCTATATTAGCATTCTTTATCATTTATAATACCAAGATATGGTTTAAAATGCAATTTAAAGCATTTTTGGTTTTGATCATAGTAGGCTTTTTTCAAAAAAATATCGATTTTATATCTAAATTAGCATTCTTTATCATTTATAATGCCTAGATATGTTTTAAAATGCAATTTAAAGCATTTTTGGTTTTGATCATAGTAGGCTATTTTCAAAAAAATATCGATTTTATATCTAAATTAGCATTCTTTATCATTTATAATGCCTAGATATGTTTTAAAATGCAATTTAAAGCATTTTTGGTTTTGATCATAGTAGGCTATTTTCAAAAAAATATCGATTTTATATCTAAATTAGCATTCTTTATCATTTATAATACCAAGATATGGTTTAAAATGCAATTTAAAGCATTTTTGGTTTTGATCATAGTAGGCTATTTTCAAAAAAATATCGATTTTATCTATGGTACGCCAACGAGTCCTTATTTTCGATATTGAATTTTTTTGGTACCTTATTTTCGAGCATAAGTTCAAATTTTTTTCACACGTTAAATTATTAATGTCTAATATCTTTGATTAAAAGTTTAAATATTTGTTTTTCATCATCAAAATGTTAAATGAATCCACTCAAATGTAATGAATCATTACTGATTTACTAAACAATTAATACAAGTGAATTAATAACATTTTTATTTCCAATGTAAACAACAAAAAAAAATTTAGAATATTTTTTGAAAAAAACCATTTTAAACTAATGTTTGCTGCATTTATCACCGATTAAACGATTAAATTAGTGTTAAAAGACATAATAGAATGATTTAATTCCTAAATCATAAGTAAATTAAGTCAAAAATTGCGAAAATTTGAAATTTTCATAAAAAAATGATTTTCGAAATGGCAAAATTTTGTTCGAAAAACATTCGAAACGAGTTTGAATTTATTTCGAATCAACGTTGACAACGTCTCTTGGCATATCATAGGATTTTATATCTAAATTAGCATTCTTTATCATTTATAATACCAAGATATGGTTTAAAATGCAATTTAAAGCATTTTTGGTTTTGATCATAGCAGGCTATTTTCAAAAAATATCGATTTTATATCTATATTAGCATTCTTTATCATTTATAATGCCTAGATATGTTTTAAAATGCAATTTAAAGCATTTTTGGTTTTGATCATAGTAGGCTATTTTCAAAAAATATCGATTTTATATCTAAAGTAGCATTCTTAATCATTTATAATGCCTAGATATGTTTTAAAATGCAATTTAAAGCATTTTTGGTTTTGATCATAGTAGGCTTTTTTCAAAAAAATATCGATTTTATATCTATATTAGCTTTCTTTATCATTTATAATACCAAGATATGGTTTAAAATGCAATTTAAAGCATTTTTGGTTTTGATCATAGTAGGCTATTTTCAAAAAATATCGATTTTATATCTAAAGTAGCATTCTTAATCATTTATAATGCCTAGATATGTTTTAAAATGCAATTTAAAGCATTTTTGGTTTTGATCATAGTAGGCTATTTTCAAAAAATATCGATTTTATATCTAAAGTAGCATTCTTAATCATTTATAATGCCTAGATATGTTTTAAAATGCAATTTAAAGCATTTTTGGTTTTGATCATAGTAGGCTATTTTCAAAAAATATCGATTTTATATCTAAAGTAGCATTCTTTATCATTTATAATACCAAGATATGGTTTAAAATGCAATTTAAAGCATTTTTGGTTTTGATCATAGTAGGCTATTTTCAAAAAATATCGATTTTATATCTAAAGTAGCATTCTTTATCATTTATAATACCAAGATATGGTTTAAAATGCAATTTAAAGCATTTTTGGTTTTGATCATAGTAGGCTATTTTCAAAAAATATCGATTTTATATCTAAAGTAGCATTCTTTATCATTTATAATACCAAGATATGGTTTAAAATGCAATTTAAAGCATTTTTGGTTTTGATCATAGTAGGCTATTTTCAAAAAATATCGATTTTATATCTAAAGTAGCATTCTTTATCATTTATAATACCTAGATATGTTTTAAAATGCAATTCTAAGCATTTTTGGTTTTGATCAAAGTAGGCTATTTTCAAAAAAATATCGATTTTATATCTATATTAGCATTCTTTATCATTTATAATACCAAGATATGGTTTAAAATGCAATTTAAAGCATTTTTGGTTTTGATCATAGTAGGCTTTTTTCAAAAAAATATCGATTTTAAATCTATATTAGCATTCTTTATCATTTATAATACCTAGATATGTTTTAAAATGCAATTCTAAGCATTTTTGGTTTTGATCATAGTAGGCTATTTTCAAAAAAATATCGATTTTATATCTAAAGTAGCATTCTTAATCATTTATAATGCCTAGATATGTTTTAAAATGCAATTTAAAGCATTTTTGGTTTTGATCATAGTAGGCTATTTTCAAAAAATATCGATTTTATATCTAAAGTAGCATTCTTAATCATTTATAATGCCTAGATATGTTTTAAAATGCAATTTAAAGCATTTTTGGTTTTGATCATAGTAGGCTATTTTCAAAAAATATCGATTTTATATCTAAAGTAGCATTCTTTATCATTTATAATACCAAGATATGGTTTAAAATGCAATTTAAAGCATTTTTGGTTTTGATCATAGTAGGCTATTTTCAAAAAATATCGATTTTATATCTAAAGTAGCATTCTTTATCATTTATAATACCAAGATATGGTTTAAAATGCAATTTAAAGCATTTTTGGTTTTGATCATAGTAGGCTATTTTCAAAAAATATCGATTTTATATCTAAAGTAGCATTCTTTATCATTTATAATACCAAGATATGGTTTAAAATGCAATTTAAAGCATTTTTGGTTTTGATCATAGTAGGCTATTTTCAAAAAATATCGATTTTATATCTAAAGTAGCATTCTTTATCATTTATAATACCTAGATATGTTTTAAAATGCAATTCTAAGCATTTTTGGTTTTGATCAAAGTAGGCTATTTTCAAAAAAATATCGATTTTATATCTATATTAGCATTCTTTATCATTTATAATACCAAGATATGGTTTAAAATGCAATTTAAAGCATTTTTGGTTTTGATCATAGTAGGCTTTTTTCAAAAAAATATCGATTTTAAATCTATATTAGCATTCTTTATCATTTATA